ATATTTGTAACTTCGAGACTGCCTGTATTAGATATTTAAGCCTCCTTCCTCCCAAAAAAACCCACCTCTGAGTGAAATCTGAGATTTACTGCACCTTTGCACTGCACCGAAAGCCGAGCCGAGATCTCCCCAGGTGGGAAGCACATTCAGAAAGGCTTCGTGCCATGTGAAAATGATTCAGAGAAGATCCATTGTGCTGTCATGTCACCCGTCTTTGTGGGAGATGGTTGGTATTTTGACAGCAGATCCTCACCACCCTTGCACACAATTTGACTGCCATCATTCACTTATAATGAGCAAGTCAAGTTCCTCCCGGAACATGGTTTGCTGCCGACAGGGCACGGCACCATCAGCACCCGGCCCTTCGTGAAAGGAGCCCTGTTTGAATGCTGTGGTTGGCCCTCACTTCCAAAATAATTCCCTTACCTATCTCATTCTCTCCCGTCCCCACTAACTCTTTTGCCATAGTCCCCTCTCTGGCATATTTTTGCACCTGCGGTGAAAGAGCTGACAGGTGCCTTCCCACTCTCTGAGGAGAGACTCTATAATTAAGAAGTGCCAAATGGGGAATCGTCTCCCACTTTGTATTTATTTTTAAGAGCAAACAACGCTCTTCTCACCGTTAGGTAAGCTCCTCTCTTGACAAGCATCTACCTGAGCTCTGATGTCACTTAATTAAAAACACAACAACAGAGGTGTTTTTTTTGGTTTTGTTTTTGGCAAGGAACCCGTCATGCCTTCTTTCTGAAACATGGCCCGCTGTCACATTCACATTCTCTTAATTTATTTATGGGTTTCCCCTCCTCCCTTAACTGTCTCATGAAGAGCATTTCAAGCGGGTAACATTTTTTCCCTCAGCGAAGATTAGAAAGGCAAAACATCAAGTTCAATCCCTACCCAGAATAAATGAAACAGCCTGACTCCTGTCGAAATGCAGGAGTTTGGTCCCAGGGAAAGGTTTTATAGTGTGTCTACCAGGGATAGCTGCCATAAAATGCCCTTGGAGGAGGATATACCTTGTGTACCTTGACAAATCAGTGGGGCATCATAGGAAAATATGGGATGCGAGGCGTCTGATAATTGTTTCTGCTCCTACCTTCCAGTAGAGCCACCCCTGGGAAATTATTAGACCAACCTATTATCACCCAAAAACCCATCATGCTCTGCCAGGTAAAATCTGTGAATTCTGACTTTTATCTGGAGAGACAGCAGTTTGCTCATGTACTATCGGCTGGCTCTTTCCTTTGGGATCTCTTCTATTTCCAACATATTTCACACTTAACTCTACGGCTCTTTATAGATCCCAACCTTGGCCGGTAGTATTACAGCTGGTAGGATATTATACCTATGGCTAGAACAGGTATGGGCAAACCCAGGCCTGGATGCGACCCCTTGGACTCTTTTCTCAGACTCTCTTCTCTCTCATCATCCTATCGTTCCTCCCTCTTTCTCTTCCACCCTTTCATCCTTCTTTCCCTCTTTTTTGCATTTCTTCCCTTTTGCTTTTCCTCCCTCTTCTCTCCCTCCATTCCCATATATCCTTCCTTCTCTTTCTTTCCTTCCCTCCCTCCCTTTTGTCTTTCCTTCCTTCTGTCATTTATTCTTACCATCCTCCCTTTCGTCCTTCCTTCCTTTCCCTTTCYTCCCTTTTCCCCTCTCTCCTTCCATCCTTCCTTCTTGTTTTTCTTTCTTTCCCTTTCCTCTTCTTCCTTCTCTCCTTTCATCCTTCCCTTGTTTTCTTTCTTTCCTCTTTCCCCTTCTCCTTCCATCCTTTCCTCCTTCCCTTTCCTCTTCTTCCCTCTCACCCTCTTTCTCCTTCTACTCTTCCCTTCCATCCTCCTGTCTTTCCTTGCTTCCCTCTTTCCCTTTTTCCTTCCAACCTTTCCTCTCTCCTTCCATCATTTTCTTCCTCCCTTTTGTCCTTCCATCCTTCCCTTTCCTCCATTCTTCCCTCACCCTCTTTCTTTCTCCTTCCACCCTTCCCTTCCATTCTTCCCTTCCTTCCCTCTTTCCTCTCTCCTTCCATCCTTTTCTTCCTTCCTTTTGTCCTTCCACCCTTTCTATCCTCCCTTCTTCCCTCACCCTTTCTTTCTCCTTCCACCCTTCCCTTCCTTCCCTCTTCCCCTTTCTCCTTCCATCCTTCCCTTTTYCCCCTTCTCCTTCCATCCTTCCCTTCCTCCCTTTTGTCCTTACATCCTTCCCTTTTGTCTTTCCATACTTCCCTCTCTCCTTCCATCCTTTCCTTCCTCCCTTTTGTCCTTGCATCCTTCCCTTTCCCTCCCTTTTTTCCTCACCCTCTTTCTCCTTCCACCCTTCCCTTTCATCCTTCCCTTTTGTCTTTCCTTCCTACCCTCTTTCCCTTTCTCCTTCCAACCTTCTCTCTCTCTCCTTCTATCCTTTCCTTCCTCCCTTTTGTCCTTCCATTTTGTCTTTCCTTCCTTCCCTCACTTCTTTCATCTTTCTCCTTCAATCCTTCCTCCCTCCCTTTCGTCCTTCCTTCCTTCTCTCTTTCCTTCCTCCTTCCTTCCATCACTGGGCAGCCAGTCCTCCTAGCAGGGAGTTCTAGCATGCAGCCTCCAAGTCTGAAAGTTTGCCCATGCCTGGACTAGAAGCACAAAATACACACAGAGGAGACCATCCTGTGATGGACCTCCTTCAAACTCTTGGCATCCAGGCACTTTTTGTAGACTGCACCAGTTGTCTCCAAGTTGGGCTATGGTAATGGGCTTTACATGGGGCTGCCTTTGAAGACAGTTTGGTAGCGTCAGTCAGTGCACAATCCAGCCACACAGTTTTTTTAAACAGGACCCAGAGAACATGTCACAAGACTTTTGTTCCAGTTGCTCTATCCAGGCTTGTTTCAAAGTGATGGTTAACCTTTAAGAGCATAGATTTCTTGGGATCAGGTTGTGCTGATAAGATTTTGCCCAGATCAATTTGGAAGCTCGGTTTGGTTTGCAAGCTCATCAATAAAATTGTCTAAACTGGTGAGCACAAGAAATGAGGCTGTTTTGGTGCTGTCCCCAGCACGGGTGGCATTTGCTACTAAATGTATTTATCCTTGGCCCATTTAGAAGCAATCATTCAAGAAAACCTTGAAGATCCTTCACAGAAGTCATTCCTTCAAAAGCTAATGGCAGCAATTTTTCTCTTTTGAGTTAACACTTATCAGATAGGTCGAATTGTAGCTTGCATCATTTACTTTGTGAGGCATCTTATAAATACTTGTGATACATAAATATTCCTTTACTTCAGCTTTATATCTGATATATAGTTTTTTTTAAAAAAAACACCAATGTTGGTGTCAGTGTGGAGAAAAGATGCATGTTTGGGATGAGTAGGTAGGTAATTATCTATTTTGGATGGATGTCTATGTTTACAGTAAGATCCCTATATCTTTGGGGAATCTGTTCCTGGCCACACTCAGTTACATGAAACCAAGAATATGACTGAAGCTCCTTCCACACAGCTGAATAAAATCCCACATTTCCTGCTTTGAACTGGAATATATGGCAGTGTGGGCTCAGATAATCCAGCTCAAAGCAGATATTGTGGGATTTTCCGCCTTGATATTCTGGGTTACATAGCTGTGTGGAAGAGTCCTGAATACTTTTGATTTATCTCACCTCTGGTCCCAACATGCCACAGAGTTGTGTTGGAAGAACTTGAAATTCCTAGAAATCCCTTTTGCTTGGCCCTCCAACACAACTCTGTAGAAACTTCCAGAAGAAACAGACTATACAATTGCCAGCAAATTCCCAAAGAGATCATTTGACCCCTGGACATGAGTAAGTGAAACCTTGGATCGAATCCATGTAGAACATTGTTTCAAAGGTAGGTTTTAGTGAGCTAAAAGCAAGGAAATCGCAATGAGCTGTCATTTACTCATTAGGACAATCCCCCTAGCGATTGACACCCAGAGTCTGAAAGCAACTGTTGGAGACAAATACCAAGTTCCTTGTAGTTTTCAACAACTGCAAACTACATGTTTTCAGCCGCTGAGGAGCTGGGCAGGTTTAGCCTGCAGAAGAGAAAACTGAGAGAAGACATGATAGCCATATATAAATATGTGAGTGGAAGTCATAGGGAGGAGGGAACAAGCCTGTTTTCTGCTGCCCTGGAGACTAGGACGTGGAGAAAATGCTTCAAATTACAGGAAAGAAGATTCCATCTGAACATTAGGAAGAATTTTCTGACTGTGAGAGCTGTTCAGCAGTGGAACTCTCTACACCGAAGTGTGGTGGAGGCTCCTTCTATGGAGGCTTTTAAACAGAGGCTGGATGGCCATCCTTTGGGGATGCTTTGAATGTGAAATTGTTCTGATTTTTGACAGAATGGGGTTGGACTGGATGGCCCACGAGGTCTCTTCCAACTCCATGAGTCTATGAAGCATGATTGAGCCACATTACAACTACAAGTAACTATTTGCTTCCAAGGTGTGAAATGCAAAATTAGATCATATCCCTGATGGCCAGAGATTGTTTGGTTGTTTTTCTGCTTGTAAAGTGCCATGTACATTGATGATGCAATATAAATACACAAAGGAATAAATAAATAAACATAAATTATCTGGCCTCTTTGGAAATTCTTGCAAAATGGTGTCATGACCCTCTCGATCTTGGATGCCCTTCCATCCAGTTGGAATTTGGGTAGGTGGGCACAGCCTAGTTCCCTTGCATGAAGAACCTGGAAAGGTCCATCCCACTGGAGTGGCCAACGCACACCTCAAAACCTCCATTTCCTATCACCTCTCTCTTGTTCTCCAAAGGGTTGCCTTGGAGTCTCCCATGGACGTGTCTACCCTTGGAAAGGTGGGGCTGTACTGCCCTGGCTCCATTCAGGAGTCTCCTTAGAGTGGCCCATTTCCCTCTCCATCCTTCATTTCTGCAGCTATTGGCATCTGGTACTGTAGTGAACCATCAAAACCAGACAAAAGGTGTTTCGTTGTATTGATGCCGGAAGAACTAGAATAGTATCCGCCACACCAGTTTCCTTTGTTGGGGGATACTGGTATGAATATGGAAGATGGATTGAGGAGCAGAGCCTACTATAAGCTTTTTGGGGTGATGCCTACTTGTCTAGGGAAGACGTAAACTCTAAGAACCCGTCTTGCTTTTTGCAAGGTTGGGAGATGGCTGGAAGCCCAACACACTGGACCTAAAACAGTACACAGTTTGCCTATTCTAAAGGGGCTCTGAAGATAAAAGCATGGCATCGCAACGGAGCGGAGAGCAGTGTGAGGTCCAAGCTGATTCTAGCTATTCATAACTCCATCTCACCACACACAAATGGCCCGTCCAAGGCCTTTTCCTTCTTCGTCTTCCCTCAGTAACCAGAGCATTTGTCCCTCCTGTATTTAACCTGCATTAAAGGAGGCTTGTGTGTGGACTTATTAGGCCTCTGGTTGTGTACCTCTGTGACAGCTCACTTGTGGAGTGAGACAGCTGTACACAGAGGGGAATGCACCTGAGCGGGATCCCTCGTGTAACTCTTGGCACTATATAAATACGGAGTAGTAACATTAGTAATAGTGGTAATACTCAAGGGACTCATGTGTTGTGGTAAATTAGTCAGTACCACAGACAGGAAGGCCTAATTCTTCATCAGAAAGTTAGACTGTTTCCCCAATGGGCGTGGGAAGAGACTATAGTGATGGATCAATATTGCCATCCCATGTACAAGGAGAACAGTTGAGGTTTCCGTGAGGTGTTGGTGGCTGCCCCTCTCATCTGACATGACCTCACTTAACCCTCCCTCCCTGACTTCTCCCCTTAGTGGCATCAATCTGAGGAGCTAGCACCATTTTGTGTAGTTTCTGGTGACCTCAAGAGGAGGGCACCGTGCCTTCCTTCAATAATGGGTTGGGGGGCATTGAGTGTTTGGTACCCACTGCTCACCAGCTTGGGTGAGGCAGTGGTCTCATAGTACACCCACCCAAGCTCTCCTGGTAGCCATTTCTGAAGACTAAGCATTGACACCTCACTCCTTAGTGGCCTCGGTGAGACAATGCTCAGCCCCATCGCTAGCCCGTGGCCTGCCTTTGCAGGTTTTGCGTGGCGGCTCCACCCAGGAGTTGTGGATGACTGTGCCACCTGGCGCAGGGTCCACCTGCAGTGCCGACACTACCCGCTTCTTCAGCTTGCTGCGGAGGACGTTGCGCAGCTTCTGGCGGGTGAAGGCATAGAGGAGCGGGTGGAAGATGGTGGTGCCATAGGCCATGGCTAGGAAGCAGATACGCAGCTTGCCCAGCAAGGGGCTGGGCCCGAGGCACAGGATGAGCAGATTGGCGATGGACAAGGGTGCCCAGCACAACAGGAAGGTTGAGATGATGAGAAGGGACATGCGGAAAACTCGCCGCTGGCGCTCCCTCCGGTCCCGGTGGCGCTTCACCGCCCGCCGCAGCGCAATGATCACAGAGACGGAGGCTTGTACTCCCATGGGGGGCGGGGCAGGGAGCGCGGGTATGGGTTGGGACCGCCGCTTGGCTTCCACTCCACTGCTCACCATGATGGTGCCAGGCTCTGCTGATTTCCGCCGCTTCCTCTTCTTAGTCTTGCGGCGCTGGCTGCGCTTGAAGGTACTGCCGATGCTGATGTTGAGAGCCTGTAAGATCTTTGCGTAAGTGACCAGCATGACAGCCACAGCTGCAAAGAAAGTAGGAATTTGGATAGCCAGGTGATAAGAGGTGCCTAGCTCGGCGTGGAATTCCTCAGGTCCCACGCAGAGCACCGTGCGGTTCTGCCAATTGCTGGCATGGCCAAATTCTCCCTCAAGGAAGGGGATGAAGAAGACAGCCAGGGACAGGACCCAGACTCCAGCCAGGAGTAAGATGGCACGGGCGGGGGTCAACACACGCTGGGCTGGGCGTACAGAGATGTCATAACGATCCAGGCTGATCACCAACACATTGGTGGCCGTGGCTACACTGCTGAAGGTGATACAAGCTTCATGGAAGCAGCAGAGCAGGGTGGTGGCACGGTCAGGCGGCACCAAGACCACCACCATAGTGAGTGGTGCGCAGACCACACAGATGAGCACGTCCAGCACGTGCAAGTTCATGGTCACCATGTTGCTGACCGAGTCGACGAGACCAGCCTGGAGGCAATACAGAACCAGGACAGTCAGGTTGCTGCTCACTCCCAGGACAATTTCCAACATCAGGAAGCCTGTCAGTGAGACCTGGAAGCCCAATGGATAGGGCAGGGTCCAGCTGGGGTCTGGAGTTACCCCGTCCGTCGTCTCCAGGATGGTGTCAAACATGGGACTCTCCATGGCTGAAGGAAGGGCCAGGGTGGTTTGGGCATAGTCCTCAGACTTGCCTGAGGAATTGCGGGCAGTCATTCACCTGCAGAGACAGAGAGAGAGATTCCAATCAAAGAAAGACCAATATCAGTAGGAAAAACAGCCTTTGTAATGACTTCAACTGCCCGGGAGCTAAGGCTTGGGAGCAACCTATTCTTATGGCATAAACATCTGCACATCACTGAGCCCAGGAGTCAGCAAAAGGCATCCTTTATCCCATATTACACCCTAAAAATGTTTTTAGTAGCTCCCTTCCAAACATCCCAAGCATGCTGAACAAAATAGTATGTGAAAAAGACTGGCAGATTCTGGAAGTACCCACAAGCAGCAATTTCCCTTAAAACAAGTTAAAAGCTTTCCACACTTTGTCATGCATCTCTGTCCTGACTTCAGAAATAAATTACTGTATATACTCAAGTATAAGCCTATTTTTTCAGCCCTTCTTTTAGGCTGAAAAAGTCCCCCTTGGCTTATACTTGAGTCAAGGTTATTTATTACTTTACTCTGTTATCATTATTATTTTTATTACTTGTATTATTTTGTTCTATTTGTTATTATTACATTTATTATTTTATATTATTATTGTTATTATTATTACATTTATTATTTTACTTTATTATTATTATTAATATTATTTTACTGACACAAAAACAAAATACATATGCTGGATTTGATATTACAAAATCACAAGTCAAACACTTCCCAAGCATTTAGGACTGTGTGATTTATTATTATTATTATTATTATTATTATTATTATTATTAGAAACACAAGATGAGTCCACAGCAGACAAGATCAATCTGCTGGCTGTTGTATCACATGTCTGACATTTCCCAAGTGTCTAGGACTGTGTGATATATTGGCGTATAATGTGTACAGGTCCCAGTAAGGTGGTCTTCTGCAGCTGAAAGATGGTAATTTTATCAGCGCCGATTGTGTTTAAGTGCAGGCCAAGGTCTTTAGGCACTGCACCCAGTGTGCCGATCACCACTGGGACCACCTTTACTGCCTTGTGCCACAGTCTTTGCAGTTCGATCTTTAAATACTCATATCATGTCAGCTTTTCCAGTTGTTTCTCTTCTATCCTGCTATCGCCTGGGATTGCAACATCGACGAACCATACTATTATTATTATTATTACATTTATTATTTTACTCTATTATTATTAGAAGGATTCATTTACATCAAAGTTTAGAATAACGATTTAATCAGAGTTGGGCAGTCTTATCTTAAAATACTGTTTTATCTAAATATTCAAAGACATTCCGATGCCTCAATTAATGCAATTTTATTGGTATCTATTTTTATTTTGAAATTTACCAGTAGCTGCTGCATTTCCCACCCTCGGCTTATACTCGAGTCAATCCCTTTCCCATTTTTTTGTGATGGGAAAATTAGGTGCCTCTGCTTATATTCGAGTCAGCTTATACTCAAGAATATACGGTACTAGTTCTATGGGTGTGTAACATGATAACGGCTCACAGTAGGATCTGAGCTTTGGGTAAATCAGTTAAGTATTAGAATTGGGAGTGATAGCATAAAACCCATACACTAACAGCAATGCATTTTCCAAAAACAGAAACAAAACCAACACAAAGCAGTGAAAGAGGATGGTGAGATACAACCTTGTACATTTTCTGTGTTGTAAATGGGTATTTTTCCGGAGTCCCTCTGCTATTGAATGGTGCATTTACAAATATGGATACTTTCTGGTATTTCTTACCTTACAGTGAGGCTTGCCTGCAAACTGAAATTGGAAAGGGCCATTAAAAGAGTTCCTGGATAAGAGACACGGGTCCAAAGGCCAGGTCTGAAGGGCCAGGAAGCCGCAAGCAGGGCTCCTTCCTGGCAGCCGAGGCTTTCACAAGCACCACCTTGTACATATTCAAGCCTGTCCTCATTGACCATGAAAGCAAAGATTTTCAGGGATTGAAATTCTACACACATACCTTAATAAACCCTAAGATGACACTTGAAGGAAGAAGTGAGAGACAGAAAACCAAGTGGCCTGCAGGGAAATGAGAGTAGGCGTAGATTCAGAGAAGTTGTTGACTGGTGCAAGGAAGGGGGGGGGGGGAAGCCCAGTCCATTGCGAGATGTGTCTGTGTATATCTGTGTTACTGAGAAGGGCAACCCCGTGTTGTTTGTATGTGCTTTCAAACTTGTGGCAACCCTCATAGGCTTTTCTGTGCAAGATTTCTGAGCAATGTTTGTGATCACTTTTTTCCTCTAAGGCAGTGGTTCCCAATCTGAGGTCCATGGACCTCCAGTTGGTCCTCAAGAACTAAAATATGGTCCGTGGTCTCTCTGTTACTACACCGTTGCAACAAGAGTGACTGGTCTCGCAAAACCCTCTTATACTGCTGAGGCTTATTACATATGGTTTTCTGTGGGCGAGCAAATGGCAACTACTGGATGGCATATGTTCTGTATCAGAACTTGAGCTGATGTGGTCTATCCAAAGCAGTTTTCTGAATCAGCACCGCAAATAACCAAACCAAATTTAAAGTTGACCAAAAACTGATTTGCAACCCTTTTGGCACTAACGGTTCAGGCCCCGCCTATCACCGCGATTGCATCTCCTTCTATAAACCGGCACGAACTCTACGATCTTCGAGGAAGGCCCTCCTTTTGCTCCCACCACCGTCACAAGTACGGTTCGTGGGGACAAGAGAGAGGGCCTTCTTGGTGGTGCCCCCCCTGCCTCTAGAACACCCTTCCAAGGGAAATAAGACAGGCCTCATCCCTCCCCTCCTTTCGTAAGAGCTTGAAGACCTAGTGGTTTCAACAAGCCTTTGAAAATGACCAGTTCTAGTCAAGCCCCAAACATTGTTGAATATGGCCTTGCGCTTCCTACCTATTACCCTGGTCATCCCTCTAATACGCCCTGGAAATGAGCAGCCACAGACCCGTCCCTGCTATTGCCGTTAGCCTGTTATAGCACTGTATTTAATTCCCGGTCTCCTCTTATTTTTGAGTTTGCGCAAGCTTCAGCCCGGCTTTTTAATTGCTCTGAACAGGCAGAATTATTTTTAATATACATGTGTTATTGTGATAATTTTATGCTTATGTTGTTTTGTTAGTTTTATGTTATGCTGTTTGCTTTGTATGTTTCGGTGATGTTACTTGGAAACCGCCCTGAGTCCCCCTCGGAGAGATAGTGCAGTATGTAAATAAAGTTTTATATTGAAGTTTTATTATAATGTTGGAGAGTGGTCCATGGTCAAAGTGATTCCTGGTCAAAAAAAGGTTGGGAACCACTGTTCTAAGGCAAGAGAGTGTGACTTGCTGAAGGTCACCAAGTAGGCATCCATGTCTGAGCAGGGATTTGAACTCTGGGCTCACGTCTAATATTCAATCCACTATGTCACACTGCAGCCCTACTAGTGCCTTAATTCAGTTTGGGCATAGCTCTAGCCCTTATCTAGCCAAGCCCCATAGATCAGGAAAGGCATCAGGGACACTTATGGAGAAGGCCAGTATTCTCAACGAGTTCAGCAATTAACCTGTCTCAGAGCCAAACTATACCGAGCTTCCGCAGGTGGCTATTTAATCCCTGGTTGTTGGCTATTCCTTGCAGGCAAAACCAGATGGTGCTGAGAAGAGAAGGAGCAGGGGGACGTGCTTAATCTAGGGAAGAGCAGCTTAATTTCTGTTTCTCAGGCAGAGAGAGACAGCAGAGCAAACTGCGAAAATTACCCCATAAGAAAAGAATGAAGTAAAAGGGGCTGCAAATTTGGAAAAGTTCGGAAAAACTGGTAGTACTAGGTGTTAGGAAAAGGTAAAGGTTTCCCTTTGACATTAAGTCTAGTTGATTCTGAATCTGGGGGGTGGTGCTCATCTCCATTTCTAAGCCAAAGAGTCAGAGTTGTCCAGAGACACCTCCAAAGTTATGTGGCCAGCATGACTGCATGGAGCGCCGTTACCTTCCTGCCGGAGTGGTACCTATTGATCTACTCACATTTGCGTTTATTCAAACTGCTAGGTTGGCAGGAGCTGGAGCCTACAGCAGGAGCTCACCCCATCCTGCGGATTCAAACTGCCGACCTTCCAGTCAGCAACTTCTGCAGTTTAGCAGTTTAACCCATGCACCACCACAGCCCCATTCGGCACCCGTTCTTGGTGTTACATAATCCAAATCATAGCAGATTATGTTAAAAATTATCTCCCCTGTCAACGGCTTCCAAGAGACCCACATTGCTTTGTTTTTGCCAGAAACAAGGCACTTTGGAAATGTCAAAGTCCACAAAAACACATTTGGTTGACCTATATAGGACCAGGGTCACAGTTGGCCCCTTCCTGGCTAAAACTTAAATTTGACACAGTTTTTGAGCCTTCTCTGCCAAAGACTGCTGGTGCCTTCCAAAAACTACAACTCCAAAAATTCCATAGCATTGAACCATGGCAATTAAAACATGTGTTCTGTCTGTTTGTTTGTTTGTTTTTGTTAAAAATGTAATACAATTGTCTGGTTGCTGATGACACAAAAAAGAAATAAAATAATAGCAATTAAAGTGGGTTTTTTTCCCCATTTCAGGAGCGGCTTGAGAAACTGCAAGTTGCTTCTGGTGTGAGCGAACTGATCGTCTGCAAGGACGTTGCCCAGGGGACACCCAGATGATTGATGTTTTACCATTTTGTGAGAGGCTTCTCCCATGTCCTGTCATGGGGAGCTGGAGCTGACAGAGGGAGCTCATCCACACTCTCCCCAGATTCGAACCCCCAACCTGTTGGTCTTCAGTACTGCCAGCACAAAGGTGTAACCCATTGCGCCACTGGGGGCTTCAATTAAAGTGGTGTCAAGCTATATTAATGTCACAGTTCAGATGCACCCTGAGTTGAGTTAGGGGATGAAACTACAGAGGAGAAAAGATTAAGCAGCAAGCCATCCCAAAACATTTTTCTGCCTTATTGCAGAGGGAGATGACACACACACAGAGTCCTAGGATACAGAACAAGGCAAATTATTCCGGCATCGGATGTGGGAAATTCTGCAAGCAACTCCGCCCCTGACTTTTTCTTCCTGTCATTAAAACATTGATT